ATTAGTTGTAGTAACCATGATATCATGATTAGATACGGAAACATGTTTTACGGGTTTAACAGACATCAAATTATATAAATATTATAGCATTTTATAAAGCTTAGCTCTAGTTTTTGTCACAATAAACACTCCTCTTTTATTATTATTATTATTATTATTATTATTATTATTATTATTATTATTATTATTATTATTATTAAACATACACTCTCTATCCGATCTCTACCACTACCTATGATTTAATTATTTTCCTTCAGCCTGCGGCCCGGATTGTCAGCTACTTTGCCTTGAGATGCATAATTATTATAGAGCACTACATAATTCGCCGCCTTTGAAATGCGACCCGGAACTGCCAACATCAGCCCACAGGTGGATAGATCAACAGGCAGCAGACGGCAAAATGTACAACTCAGAATGGACAGACAAGTTCACGGAGAGCATTTCTTGGAAAGGCTGGGGATGGGAAGGAATGTGGAAGATGGAGGGAGCCATACCAGGGGCGGTAAGAGGTTGGTATTCTGAAATCAAGAACAGCAACTATAACTACAAAACTGGCAAAGCTTCCAGCACTGTTGGGCATTTTCAAGCGGTAGTGTGGAAAGGAGAGACAAAGCTAGGATGCGGGCTCGCCATCAAACCGAATGATGGCGCTTACGTCACTGCACATTACGCTCCACCCTCTCATACGAGCATGGACAGGGAGAAACTAACACCTCAGAATGTAAAACCAAGAAAACGACAAGGTAAATAGGCCATTCCGGAATTACGTTGTGCCTCTTGGTGCAAAACCTTTCATATAAAAATGAGCTTGACTTGCGTAAAAATGAACATCATCCATATGAAGACTTGTTTTGACACAGAGGCCACAAAAGGCGACTCGGAAGTGGCCTTTTGAAGCAGATGTAGGATAAAAGACATAAGAGAATACGGTAGTCCAAATTGGAATTTAACTGAGCAGAAAACTCTCGTTCATTTGAAAAATAATCAGTTTTAAACAATAGCACTTACACATTCATTTCGATGGAACCGATCGATTACTGATTTTATTAAACAGAAGGTATATCTTGTTAGTGAAGAGAACAATTAATTGCCACTTAGTTAACTTTACATTTTCTTTATTTTCTAGCTACTGCCTGTAAAATTCCTTCAAGGGAACGTGTTGATTGTTTTGGTGATTCGGCAACTGAGGCGCAAATGGCACCTTCTGTAACACCTGCGATCTGCTTTGACAAAGGATGTTGCTATGACGACATGTACATGAGTGAACCGGATACCTGGTTTTATATGCCGCCAGGAAGAACATGGTGCTTTAAGAAGAAGGAGGCAGGGAGCTCCTAAAATAAGAGAGTTGAGACAAACGACTCAATTTTTTTTATTTTATCAAAGTCTCTCCAGTTTCATTACATACTATACCTTAGAATGTCTTAGTTTCGATGTCGACACAAGTTTTAACGCACAGAAAGATCTCGAAAAATTAAGCACAGAAAGGCGATAAGACGGCAATTGAACCCTTAATCACAGACAGAAGCATATCCTTCTGTCACAGATTAATCTAGAATCTTGACTAATAGAGTTTTTAACCATCTGTATTTTTTAATAATCAAAATGTGGAGGAGAAAGTGAGAGCCTGGAAGAATAGGGGACTAGAGGGATACGGAAAAAGGGAAAGGAAATGGCAGGGAGCGAGAGAGAAAGGTGAAATGCTAACTTTCTATACTCATTAATACGTATACTATTATTAAAAACATGAACCTAACAATCTCATTGACTTGCACTTAGCTTACTCTGAGGCTTTAGACAAAGTTTTATCTCAAAGTAAACAAAACGTTGCTTACGTCATAGGTCATAAAATGTTAAGAAGCATGGAATTGAGACCTGCTTATATACTTACGTGGAGCCATTAGCAAGCCAAAAAAGGCGGATGTACAGTTCCGAGACAATAGTTCGAAAGGAAGGCAGATTACGGGTTTTGGAGGGATTCTACACTCCCACAACTTTACCCCCGCCATGTCCCGCCTGGAAAAATTGCAACAAATGGCATGAGCAAAGTAGGTAAATTTATGCTGCTACATGTACATAAGGTCTAGTAAGCAACATAAAGTTGTAATGATGAGATAAAAGGCATTAACTTCTGCGTTGCCCGATGACTGCTCACTACAATCCACACTGACTGTAACACGTTCCAAATTTTACGTTACACCGCTGGTTTTAATGTGTGCAAAGAATTATCATGTATAATACACTAGGTTTATATCTTTTATTTAATCAATTGACCCTAAAGTGAGCGAAGAATATATTGATACACTATGTTATTTTAATTACTTCAAAAAAGATTTCGTTCCTCGCTCTGATGTTCAGGTGCAACCGTATTGTACCACTCTTTTCACCTCTAGCTGAAAACATTTGCTTCCTCCCGAATTAACAACATTGTCTAGGAAGAAAGATCGAGGTAGGTCAAAATTTTGAAATGTTTTTTAAGTCCCATTGGGAAGATGTTTTAAATAACCC